TAGTCAAAGCTGTTCGCCAATCACAACGCACTGGGACAGCAAACCAATCACATCACATTTCGTTTTTCGGAAGGCGCGCGTTCATCAAACCTGGAACTAATCGAGCCATTTGAGCCAGGATGGGGAGAAAGGTATTGTAATAATGTAAATTATGTAAAAAAATAATGCGTTTTTCGAACAACCAAGCATGAGAGCATGTTCTAGTACACCCCCAAAACAAATTCAAGACATTGTAAAAGAGCATAATAGGACCCCTTTAAATGGAAAATTTGTAATTTCATTTTAAAAATACAGTACTTTTTGCTATAAATATTTAGATGGAAGTCCTGTTCTTAGAAGGCAATTTTTTTATTTGTTGACTTTTTTTTAAATTAAAAAATAGTGTAATTTTTATTTGCTGACCTTTATTAATTGATTACTCTGAATAACTGACAATAACTAACAACCTACATAAAAAGGCCATCCAATTTAAAAAAAAAAAATTTTTTATTGTAAAATACATATACAGATTTCCGAAGGCATTTAACTTTCAAAAGGTATGGTGGTTTAGATTTCTAGAAAACAGACATGGTTATGTATGTTTTTTGTGATAGTATTGAGAGCTGTGGCAGTCTCTAAAGAAGATGTGAAGTCAGCAGTGACGTACCCTCATGGATGTCTCTCCTCCGTGGGGTCGCTGCAGTCTGAAAACCTGTGCCACCATGTGATCAGTGATCTGATGCAGCAAGATGCGGCGAGATGCCAGACCCACCATCACGTAACGACCCATCGGAGACAAACTGACAGAGATGGCATTTGGACCTGTGACAAATACACACAAGCTAGCACGGAAACATTGTCTGAAAACTCCAGGCTAAGCCAAACCATTACAAAATTATCACAATTGTGTAAAATAACAATTTCAACAAGACTGGGATACAGAACTGGGATACACTTTTTGCTAAAGCAACAATATAATAAAGCAATAATGCACTGAATGAGCTAGCTGAGCAGTATTTTAACTCTAAGAATGACTAACTACACGTATAAAGTCAAATCATGGCAGTAAAAATTATGAAAATCTAGAAAATTTATTTTGGAACCCTATTAATACTGAATTGTTCATTTTGTACATTATTAATTGCTGTAAATGTTATAACCAGAGCATTCAGACCAATCTGTTAAGCATGAAATTAGAAAAGTTCACACCTAGACCTGTTTAGACTGTAATTATAGCTAATATAATTTTTCATCCAAAAACCTAATTGAATTTCATAGCCATTTAACTTTAGAAATCAGCCTTGCTTGGCGTTTGCACGAGCCAAAGAGTGCTAGCGATGTGATCAGTAAATGGAAATGAACAATTTAGTATTGAGGGTCCTGGTTGATTGCTCTCATTAATCCACTGTTACTGGATAGGATGAATGATAGTTCCTTGAGGCCTGTATAGCCGATGGTGATGACCAACCCGCAGAGAGAGAGAACAGCGTTTCAAATCACTTTAATCTAAAACAAGCAGGACTCATACTTCCTCATCATTGGTTTCCATTAGCAGCCTGGTCCCAGCCCTGCCTTCGTTTGGCTTTTAAATGGGGACTATCTAATTAAAGCTGCCTCTAAAAGAGCTCCATCACTGCTGTCTGTTCAGCCAATTAGAGGGAAAGTGAGAGCACAATGCAAACAGCCATGTCCCTTTGCATTTGATTTAATTAAGCACAAGTCTGAAATAATTTTAGCTCTGATGGCTCAATCAGTGTACTAAACCCTCGTCAGCACTGGGAGGAGTGTCAAATTTTTACAAACTAACAGCCCTTATGAGGTCGAGCAGTTGATGTGTCAGGGTCACTCACCAAATCTCTTGGAGTAGAGCATCTCTCCCAGGTTGTGTGGGGCCAGGGAGTACACAGCCAAGATGCCCTCATCAGGGAAACCCCTCTGACTGCTGGGAATGAATACAGCCAGCAGCTGCCCGTCCGCTGAGATATCACAGCTCGCGTCATTGTAGATCTTACAGTTGGGCACCAACACATTTACCGACGCTAAAAAAGAAATCAGACACAAGAATCTAAATTAGGGGTGCACCGATACAAAAACTGCACCTGGTAATGATAACCGATAATTATTAATCTACATATAAATTTACAGATATTTTATGCTTCAAATAACACCAGACAACATTTAAAACTGCCTTGAAAATACTTAAAGATATGTAGAACTATACAAAACATCAATCTTTGTGATAATTTTTTAAAAGTTAAATAGAAAAAGGTGTAAAATTTTAATAACGTTACATGGAGAAAAAAGGAAAAATCTATAGGCTGTGTGTAAACATTTTACCTATTTGTGTTTAAGAATAGGTAGGCCCACTAGAAATAATGTGCAAACACATGATAAGTTGAATATAATGTATTAGCTAAAATACAATGACCACGTTTACTCACTGGGCTGATATGATAATATAAAAAATCCACACTTATATACCAATACTAATATGACTGCAAAAATATCATGCATATCTAGTCCAAATCAACACATACATTTTGTTTTGGAGTGGTCAAAAACAAAATAAAGGCTAAAACAGGGAATGCCTTAGACAGAAAATAGTATTATAATAAGTTATAGAAGCTATAAATGGCAAATTTTGAAAAGCAAATCTGCTTTAAATTTAAACTAAATATTAAGGTCCACTTTTTAGAGTAAGGACATTAAACTAGCATGCTTGTCAAATTTGCCAAAAACTGATTGCAGTGTCAGCCTCTGCATCTGACAGATTTCTATTTGCATCCAAATCTCTATTTGTACACAAGCAGTATCCTGTGTAACAATCTTTTTGCTAAATTAGCAGAAGCTGCAGAACTGCCGTAAGTTGAGCCGCAATAAAAGTGATTTAGTGACTAACAGAAAGCCACATTTGTTCAACCCACACTAATAAGAGAGCAGAGTGGCAGGAGAGAGAGAGAGAGAGAGAGATGTGTGTATGTTCCCTTCTCATTTCAGCACATAAACCTCACACACACACATAAAAGATATCTAGCACTACCATTCTGCCAAGCAGGATGCATAGAGAAAATGATAATGTTTCTGCTCGAAACCACGTCAACTCCAAAATTAATCTTGATTGCTGTTTTCATTTTCTGTTATAAACATAGCATATTCCTTTACTGTTTCCATGGCAATTTGCATCCTAATAAAGCCATCTCTCAACGCACAGAATGGTAGTAATATTCAGAAAACAAACACCGTGTAAACACAGGGATATTACAACAGAAATGTGAGTGAGCTGAGACAGTTGATTCAAAACAACTGTTTAGATGAAGCGGCTTATTCAAAGCATTAACGGAACAATAACGTGCTGCTCTGGTCTCATGCATCAACGTGTGTCATTGCGCAGGGGTCTCTCTATAAAGCATCAGGTGCGTGTGTGTGGGAGGTGTAATTAGGGCTATTTGTGATTTAGAATGTGAGCGTGTGATTGAAGTGTTTGTCATTTCACTGGAGAGCGAGTGTGCATGCGGACGGCGCTGGAAAAAGTGTGACTGCACAAGCTAAACAAGAGCAGGTGAGTTTTGGCAGGTGACTGCAAGTCATTATGCACATTTAGAAAGATGGATTTGTTTTAAAGGGGTCATATGATGTTGCTAAAAAGAACATTCTTTTGTGTATTTGGTGTAATGAAATGTGTTTATGCGGTTTAAGGTTCAAAAAACACATTATTTTCCACATACTGTACATTATTGTTTCTCCTCTATGCCCCGCCTTTCTGAAACGCGTCCCGTTTTAGGTAGGCGTGGTTGACTCTTAACTTTTATAAAGAATATCTCTTTGGATTTGAGACTTTAGTCTTTGCAACTTTACAGATCTTCTTTATGCACCAAGAGCTTGTAACACTCCAAAGAGAAAGGAAAAATTGAAATCGCATCATATGACCCCTTTAATACTATTACTGAACTAAAATATAGAACATTTATTTAACTGAAAAAAATTGTTAAGGTGTACGGTCACATTCTATGTAAGGAATACCTGAGGGTTAAATACAAGAAAAACATATTAATGTTGCCTCTCCATCACTCTCCAGAATAAAAATTGATACTGTAAATGTCATTGACGTAATAATCAATTCATAATATGCTGTAATGTTTACTAAAAGTTGCTGCAATACAGTGAAGCTGTCATCTATCCTGCTTAAAGGGTTAGTTCACCCAAAAATGAAAATTCTGTCATTAATTACAAAGTAGTCCGTGTGACATCAGTGGTTCAACTGTAAAGTTACGAAGCTACGAGAATACTTTTTTGCGCAAAGAAAACAAAAATAACGACTTTATTCCACATTTTCGTCTCTACTGCGTCGCTTGTGGACGCGCATTCACGACAGTATCATGACGCAAGCATGTGGTGGAGCCGGCGCTAACCCAGAGCCGCGTCATGATACTGTTGTGATCATGATACTGTCGTGAACACACGTTCACGACAGTACCCTTTAAACCCATTCAAATGTAACCCTTTAACCCCATTCAAATGTATTGACAGCGCTAGTTTGTTTGGAACTATTGAGAGCTACTGAACCACGTGACCGCGTGGCGGCGACACCGGCGATATGGAGCCAGATCAGCCTCAAAAATAATAAATTTACAAAACAAAATTCATGAATGCACAGCACAATTTACATTTACAAAAACACAATTCATAAATACACAAGTAAAATCATACATTTTCCCCCAAATGCTCACACAAATGCATCTTACTAATTAAATTTAAAATGTTAACATTTATGAATGATGTTACATGTATTTATGGATCGTTGAATCTGCATTTGCAAATCGTCACTCGTGTGTGGACTGCTTTGAATTTGTGTGCAGTATTTTTGAGACCTTCCTGACAGGTTAAGATTCATATGTTCGGATGTTCCGTTCAGCCAATCGTGGTGAGCTTTTAATCCACCAATCAAAACGCTCCTTACTGAACAGACTCAAGAAGCTCAACGCTGTACTTGTACTGTGCATTGTTCCATGATCGGGTCCTTGATGTAAAGACATTTTAATGGGTACTCTTTTTTCATTTAATAACAGCAATTATGTAATGTGTTCTGTTCTTGTTGTTAGTAGTAGTAGTAGTATCAGATTCGCAGTAACTTTTGATCAGGCATTAAAAACAGCTACCACCACTTAAGGGAGATTTCAAAAACACAGCGGAAAGATTTCAGCATGGAGGATGAAAAACAGACTCAACGAGTGAGTAAAGTCGTTTTTTTATCTGATGGCATTTTCTTATGATTATAGCTGGTTGTGATGGTAACTTTAGAACCCACTGACTACAAACCGTATTTAAAATTACTTGATAGTTTATCATCGAAATCGTTGTTTTATTTTTTGTTTATCACCCATTCATCCTGTGATTACTAAAGTGTTCCTACAAACACCAGTTATAATATAAGAAAGCTGGCGTGGACTAACGACTTTGTAACACTGCAAACTGCACACTTACTTACTAAAACAACCTTTAATCATAAGAAAATGCCATCAGTTAAAGGGGTCCTATTATGCTTTTTCACTTTTTGAATTTTAGTCAGTGTGTAGTGTGTATATTTGGGCATAAAAAAGATCTTCAAACTTACAAATCTCAAAGTCCACTCCAAAGGGAGATATTTCGTTTTTAAATAAATTCCCTTTTCAAGAACTACAACGAACGGCTCGTTTGGACTACAGCGTTTGTTTTCCGGCTTTTGTGATATCACAAAGCGGCCCATTAGAATATATATAGAAAACGTGATTTAGCCCCAAAAAAACAACAACAACAATAACGTTACCACTCTAATATGTCTTGCAATATCTGTGCGTGCAAAGGTTCTGCACGATACTCTTGTTCAATATTCTCTGGGTCTGAATCCGGCTCAAATTGATATGGCAATATTGACGCCATCCTTAACTAAACTGGAGCAGACGGAAGGAACTTGCTGCTTTGGCAAGGGAAGGCAGTACTGAAACACCGTCAAAGCTGTTCGCCAATCACAACGCACTGGGACAGCAAACCAATCACATCACATTTCGTTTTTCGGAAGGCGCGCGTTTATCAAACCCGGAACTAACCGAGCCGTTTGAGCCAGGATGGGGAGAAAGGTATTGTAATAATGTAAATTATGTAAAAAATAATGCGTTTTTCGAACCACCAAGCATGAGAGCATGTTCTAGTACACCCCCAAAACAAATTCAAGACATTGTAAAAGAGCATAATAGGACCCCTTTAAAAAAAACGACTTTACTCACTCGTTGAGTATGTTTTTCATCCTCCATGCTGAAATCTCTCCGCTGTGTGTGTCCGAAATCTCCCTTAAGTGGTGGTAGCTGTTTTTAATGCCTGATCAAAAGTTACTGTGAACCTGATACTACTACTACTAATAACAACAACAGAATACATTACATAATTGTTGTTATTAAATGAAATATCTGGACATTTAACACTTATTTGATAACATTACAGATTGATCTGAATAAACAGGGTATGTGCAACTTTGGTGTATAAGACAGAACGAAATCATAATGTGATTTTGTAGAAATTGTAATCAGGTGCTAAAAAAAGAGTACCTATTAAAATGTCTTTACATCAAGGACCCGATCATGGAACAATGCACAGTACAAGTACAGCGTTGAGCTTCTTGAGTCTGTTCAGTAAGAAGCTTTTTGATTGGTGGATTAAAAGCTCACCGCGATTGGCTGAAAGGAACATCTTCCAAAAAAATATATTTATGAATCTTAACCTGTCAGGAAGGTCTCAAAAATACTGCACACAAATTCAAAGCAGTCCACGCACGTGTGACGATTTGCAAATGCAGATTCAACGATCCATAAATACATGTAACATCATTCATAAATGTGTGACGGAAATTAATTCAAGAACTTGATATATTCATATTTGTGTAAACATTTTTAATTTATTTAGGTAAGACGCATTTGTGTGAGCATTTGGGGAAATATTTATGCTTTTACTTGTGTATTTATGAATTGTGCTTTGAATTTACGAATTGGATTTTGTAAATGTAAATTGT